CTGAACTTTTAAAGAGAAGGAAAGTTAGGCCCATCAAACAAAACAAATAGTTTTTTCTCCAATGCAGCAAAAGGAAATTAATTCAAAAGTTGGCATGATGCAAAACTCTATAACAGGAACATCTTGGGTAACTTAGATTGCTCTTGAGTTTTATCATTGTTTAGAAAAATATCGCAGTTGCCATTTAAGATTTATGATAAATAGTCCTTGAGAATTAAAAAATTGACTGATGCATTTGCAATGTAGAACACATGCTTGGTGCACTAACAAAACATTATTGAACAGAAATAGTGAGCTGACTAAGTTTATTTTTTCCTTTTTTGATTTACATGTACTGTATTTTATACCCTTATAGTGAGTGAAAAATATTGTTAAAGGCTAGAAATTAATTAGGCAGCATTTGAAAGGGAAGAAGGCTACATACATAACTAAGGCTTAACATGGTGAGAACACAGCCACAAAGTAAACAGTAAATGAGTATAGATCAACATTGCCAATTTATCCAAGGTATTTAAGGAATTAAACCAAGGGTGATTTTGTCGCTAATTTGTTTGTATCTTGGTGCATGTCAATGTCTATGTTAAACATCAAGAAGTTAATTTATGGTTGCTGTACGAGAGATCTGTCAAGAATCGAGCAGGAAAAAACAGTTCAGCTGCCAAAGTCCTTGAAGAGAATCAAAGCCATGGCTTATGTGTACATTCAGAAATGGGTACATCGGAATGAAAAAAGTCCAACAGCGAGATTCACAAATTGGTAACAGTTCGAGAAAAAGACACAACTTAAAAAAGGAACATATGACCTCAAAGGAAAGGGCACACATCAAGAATTAAACTCTCATACCCATGAAGAATGTTGGAAACAATAGTGATGATTTACAATTTGTACAAATTCGAACTGTCGACTGACCTTAGATTAAAATTTTGTAGATGTAGTGTTGACGCGATGTATTCCAGTGTCTTCATAGTGCAGTAGTTTTTCTAAGCTATAATTTTTTTTATGTTTTCCTCCTTGCCAAAAAAAACTATCTGCTGTCTACAATTTTTAGCTAGCTAAAATACAGAAATAGAAGTTTGAACAGGATACCTGTAGTATTTTAAGCGATTACATGTCTGGCTTGCTTACCATTTCAAATTTGCTTAAAAGTTTCATCGCATATACTTTTTTCGATGCTTTGTGCCTCACCTGAAAAGTGTATAGAATAAAACATTAGGTTTCTATTTTAACGACAAACGAAACAGCTCGAATGATAAAGCCCGTATTTGATAGCACGGTACTGTTAAATGTTCGCGTATCTCGTGCAGTTTCAAGTAATTCATCTGCTGTCGCATTAGCAAAGGAAATTGCGTATATCAAGAGGCAGAACTCGTGAATGCACTTCGTAGTTAAAAAGCTAAGAAATTAATCAACACCTAATGGCAACATTTGCCCTTAAGAGGGATAATTGTCACTCATAAGCTCGAAAGTACAGGATGAGTAACCTACCAACTGAACTTCACCGAAAGCACCACGGCCGATGACTTTTACGACCTTGAAGTCGCTTGCATTCATACGACATTCTTCGATTACTTTACTAGGTTTCTCATCTGAAAAACAATTAAATCAATCTTAGTATGTACCTCTCAAAAACCGTTAGCAAATATTAGGATGCCAAAGCAACTCACATCTTTGTAGGAAGTTTTCGACATTCTTATTGCGTCTCAGGGCTGGAAAATCACAATCGCACACCAGCGACTGAATTCCATCCTGGCAAAACAGAGCAAAGTAATATCTTGAGTCACCTGACAGTGCGACAGTTGAATAAAGCAGCCATTAACTCACCAAAAGCCCTTCAATGTACAGTTCATTCCGAGGATCTCGAACGTAAGTCTCGAGATTTTCCCTCCTCTTTCGTTCGTCCATGATGCTCGCTGCCAAAGCTCTTTACAATTCCAACACAAAACTATCCACCAGAAGCAGACTTCATTCCTTCTCCAGCCAAATGCATTGAAATAGAGACATTCAGCCTCAATATCACAGATTAGAAGTTTGCTTCACCCAATGAATTTTTACAAACCGAACCTCTGTTGACATTACTTTCTAACATGGCTGAAGTTCGAAATGGATGAAACTGAATAATAGGGGGGTGTTTAGTCACGTGACCTATGGGGCCACCTTACTTCGCAAAATGGCGGTTCTTTACAGAACCGTTGCTCAGTAAAAGACGACCTTTACTTCCTCTTCCGAAAGTGACCTTTGTTGTATTTCCGTATCCTCCCACTGAGTCACCTGATAAAGAGTACTCTCCCGTGCATCGTATTTCCCTTCCAATTTCGTAATCTATGTCATAGTTATTTCTACTGACTATGAGAAGAGTTGCTACTGATCAGTGATAACTCACCATTAAGCGAACTGATATATTTCAGAAATGGTTTTTTTTTTCTCAAGAGTGTCCTGTCTCTTTATTTTCCGTACCTTACAACAGTGTATTATCAAAGGTGCCACCATACATGGCAATTGGTGACATAGCGGAATTCTACTTTCACTTTCAAAAAAAAAAAGATCAAATCGTTGCTCTCTGCACGCCATCTCTTGAAATTTCCTAGAATAGTTTTGATTCGCCTCGTTCTCTTTAGATGCTTGACCAAAACATTCACGAAAAATCTTATCAGTAGATAAGTCAATAATCTATCATCACAATATACTGATCTTATTTAGAACGGCCTCTTTGTTCTGGGTTATTTTGAATTCAAAAGTGTCTCGTTGAGAAGGAGAGCTCTCCATTGAGTGATTGACTGAAATCTAACTTCCGGTGGCAAAAGACACTCAGAACTCAGAAACGCCTATTTTGAGGGGCTCGTCACTTGGTAGGAGGAGATCATAGAGAGAAAAAGAAAAGACAGAGACAGAGAGAAAAAAAATTAATGCAACAATGTGTCGTTCAGGAGATTAAGTAGAAGAAAATCATTCTTATCTGGCTTGTGGTTTCACTTAATGAGTCATTCCCATTGAAAGATATTAGTTCAAGTGTTTTTCAGATATATTAAGCGATGAGTGAATTACAAACGTTATACTGAGACAGAATATAATTTGTCGGAAAATGTTTGTGGCATCGAGAATAATAGGGTGAAACCAGCCATGCGTTGTGCAAATTCATTTACGTTTTTTTTTTTTTTTTGTCATTTCTCCAAAATAATCTTTTATTGCGCTTTTTGCCTTCTTGAGAGGCTCCTTTGATCACAGAATAAACAGTTCACTTTCGAATAGTCCCTACATATAAAAATTCCTAAAAATGTATGCACAGACAACCTCGGGCCCTCAGCAAATTTTAATCCTATTTACACCACTGAGAAAGTCTGCCAGACGATAATAAATATCAGGAACGTCCCATCTTCTTTGCCTCGCCGATTTTTTGCCAAATAAGAGGACATACCTAAGTGATTCTAAAACAACAACATTAGCAGGGCGAGCCAAAATAATTCGGGTTATCTTTTCCTTTTACATACGGCCAATTTATCTGCAGTGTAAGTGAAGTTCAGGTAGTGTTTACAAAGACCTTCCTCGTTTTTTTGGTTCAAATGGGATATCAGCTAGTTATAACACTAAGGTCGCTTATTCAGCAAGCGGATAATTATAGTACGGCAACCGATATCAAGAAGGCCAAGTAACACTCCGCCTCGTATGAACAGATCGAAATTATCACAAAGGAAATAGCGCACAGGCGAGGTCTCAAAAAACTCTACCCACACGAGGAAACTCAAATTCTTACTTTAGAAATATAATCTGACATACTCCTCCAAGTGTTCAGCACCAAATGTCGATTTTATAACGTCACAGTACAAGTTGTTGACTTGTTTTTAAATTGGTTTATATTTAGCAAGGAAACTGCGCGGCGTCACGTTTTGGATTTCTTGCTTCGTCATTAAATCTTGAGCGATTTAATGACTAACTTCGCTTTGCATAGGGCGGAAATGTTTGGCATGTTTCTCCTAAAATCGTTTAATCAATCTTGATTAACCTGATTTCAATTTTTATCGTACCGTACACAAAACAACACCACACCACCCCCGCCCCCTTTCAATTATTTTTTATCTGCAACTTGGGCATAGCACGTTATTTTATTTATTTGATTTGAATTATCAGTTTCCCACATAAGAAAAGGGTCTGACGCAACCCCTCGTCCCATCGAGCCACGACCTCGACAAGGTATTCAAAGTGACAAAGTTTTTCGGATGTGGCTTGTATCGCTCCAATGCGTATTCAGTAGAAGGGGAGAACTTTTAACTCGCTGGCTATTTAGATCGTTGGTTTTTTTTCTGACCATGTATTGAATGGCTCTCGACTGAATCCTACCTGGTTTCAGAAGTGTTTAGGCGCCTTACATTTACTGACTGGTCAGCCAGAAAAACTGGCCGGTGATTTTTGCACCCACGTTTGCCATATGACTTGCTTTCTCCTTCGCTGGCTTTATTTTCACCAGCAGGTAATTTAGTGTTAACAACTGGGTTGAAAACGTAAATTAGCCACCGTAAAGAGTAAAAAAGCTGACGTTTCGAGCGTTAGCCCTTCATCAGAGCGATTGGACGACGAAGGGCTAACGCTCGAAACGTCAGCTTTTTTACTCTTTACGGTGGCTAATTTACGTTTTTAACCCAGTTGTTAACACTAAATTACCTGCTATACTCTCCCACCGACGCAGCACCAAAGTTTATTTAGAAACTTACCCTTTTATTTATTTTCACCAGGCTCCAAATAGGCACCAGCTATGCAGGTTTGGTGTCCGAAGTCATCTTTCTCATTCAATAAAGCTACGAGAATTTTAAAGAAACAGTCTCCCCTTATCTTGAAGGGTGCTTCTTCAATTCGTAGAAAAATAAGCAAGACCCAAGGGAAATAACCAAAAGCCCGCAACCGCACCTTATACCTGTTGTCCTCTTACCGAGCGTTACATTTCTCTCTGCCGATCCTCTGAGGTTGCCCTCATAGAATCCGCGATCCAACAGCGGTTTTACTATACAGTCGCCATTTTGGATCTTAGCATGAAAACATCCTTGCATTTTGGTCGAATTGCTTAAAGATGTGAACTTAATCGTTCACATTACTTTCAAATTTGGCACAAAATGGGCCAGGGAAGCTCTAAGGAAAGTTACAAAAATGCTGTGAAGAAACTAAGCAGCATAGAACTAGCAAACATCGAGGCGGTGTTTAACGAGATTTCGACGAAGAGAGAGGATGGAACGCGACATGTAGAACTGTCTCTGATCAATCGGCAAGATTTTGCTGAACGCTTCCGGCTGCCTGGCTTTATTGCTGAACGCCTATTTCACGCTTTTGATCGAAATGAGGTAGAGTACTTAATTTTTATTGTTTTGAAATCCTGTCATTTATTGTCAGGGTCAAATGATGCTGGAGATTATGTGCTCACTTAAGTATCATATCTGAAGTCATGTAAAGAATAATTGCTCTTCTAGGTGAGCCAGTTAAGTGCGAGGGAAACTTGAGGAAAAAATAATGATAAATATGTTTGAAAAAATGTAGCTGTTGGATTTGTGTGTGCTTTACAGTTTTGTATGCATGAGTGATGACAGGTGAAGGCATGGAAATGAGTGGTAGAGGTAATCAGTTCTTCTGTACCAAGCCTCTTGTGGCTTCATCTCTCATTACTTGGGAAATGTTAGGCAGAAAAGATGGATTCATCTTGCCAGCCAGCCAGCCAGCCAGCAGTATAATAAAATGATGTTCTCACTCACCCCCATGCAGAGCCATCTGTGAGGAGCATTGCAAAATCAAAATGCTCTAACAGATTTGTTTTTTCCAGAGAGGTGGGAAGGTTTTAAAAACTAAGCAATAAGATATTTTTCGATGAAAACATTATTTTCTTTTTAATGTGGGCTTTCCTAGTTGTATCTTGGTAGAGGAAAGAACCAAAAAAATAATAATGATGAAGTGCTGCAAGTCATTGCATTCTGAGTCATTATTGATTTTGTTTTACTTGCAGAGTGGTACTATAGATTTAGAAGAGTTTATTGGAGGAATTGCCCTTTGCTTGCATGGGAAAGTGAAGGATAAGTGCAGATTACTATTCCACATCTTCAATCTGGTACTGATTTGTCATACATATTACACTGTGCTCTAGAAAAACTGGTGGATTTTCCTTGATCTGTAAAGCAAAATAGGTTCCTGCAACAAACAAAATCTTCCAAAATAAAGTTCCACAAAAAACTACCGTTTTCTGTTCAAGAAAAAACTATGAATGCTAATCAAGTGCCAACTTGTACATTTTGTGTTTGGTGTCCCTCAAGATATCTAACTATGGATCATTGACCATGTAGGTCCCTGTACCTTTGCCTACTGGTAACTCAATACATTGGAAAATTTTAAATTATTAACTTCCTTTCCTTGTTAATGATGTGCTACTAGAACAGAAAATTTCAGACACAAGCTCCCGGCAGAAATTTTTGTCACCTCAAACCACAAGTCTTTTTTTTTCGCAAAGCACAAAAATTGTCACCCTTCAAAATAAAACTCCTACAAAACTTTCATTCTGTCCCATACATCCTGAGGTCCATCACATCTGATCTCTTACTCTGATTGCAGTCTGATGATGATGGTGTTAGCAGAGATGAACTGACTGCTGTTCTCTTAAGCTCTCTTGAGTCAGCACAAACGATATTGGACAATGTGGAAGAAACAGAGCAGCCTACAGAGGGGAACAATACAGACAAGCTGATTGAAACTGTTTCAAGGTTTTTTTAAATCAAAAGATTTTCCTGATTCTGAAAATTTAATAGTTGTGTGTTAGAGCAATGACAAAGGGCTATAGCTTAAACTTCAGCCTTAGAAACTCTTACAGTAGCCAATTTACATTATCAACTGATTATCTTCCAACAACATTTTTCCCCCTCACCCCCTTGGTTTCTTAAGAAAACTTACCCCCTTTACTTTTTCAGGGTTTTTGGATGAGACCTCAATTTTGCAAAATATATCCTGAGTTAAGGAAATTGAAGAAATGTTACCAGCAATGCAAGCTACCCAACATAGTGTTTGATTGGTTGATTTAACCACCATGACATGTAGTTAATTCTGTTTCAGGATTGTCAGTGATGCATTTGATACCTGTAATGTGTCCAAAACAGGAAAGCTTTCGGCCAAGGTTAGTTGATTGTGGTCAATACCAAATAACCCAGAGTGCAAATTTGTAAAGAAACTTTGATGTAATTAGGTGTCCTGACTTTTGCATTGAACCATGAACATCATTAAGCAATCATTTCTGACCATCATCACAATGTAGATGTTTTCATTTGATTTATATTTTATGAAGGAACAAATTCTGAAAGAGTTTGATACATTATGCAGTTTTATCTGTGTTCTCAGGAGTTTGAACATTGGCTTTATCGAAACCCAAAGATAATGGACAATGTGTTTGGCTGGCAATGCCCAAGTCCAGAGGGTAAGTTTCAAGGTTTTATCGAAATATAGCTGATTTTAATGACCAATTTAATAATCTTTTGATGCGACATCCATAGAGCCTGGTAACCCTGAATCATTCTTAGTCATCTTCCACAGCATGGGTGGTTGACCCTTTGACCCTTAAGAGTGACTGGCATCTAATTTCTCCTTACAATATCACCCCTGAATCACCCCAAGATTATGGAGAAAATGCATGCTGATGTTAGGGTGTGAAGGGTTAATATGGGCAGCATATCAATGTCAAGTGAGATGGGTTGAGTAAAAGAGAGAGAGGGCAGAGTCTAAGACTTCCCTTTCTCATCACTCCTTCCTCCCTACCTCAGTACATGTTAGGTAGCTGATTGGGATTGTATCTGGTCCATCGTCCCCAATTAGGAACATAATGAGCTTGAAATTTCCATGAGAAATGATCATTGGCACCTAAGGACCCTCTCCCCTTCAGCTATGCTTATTTATGGACAGGTGGATGAAGTCATGTGGAATAAAAGTGAGAGATATTATTTTGTGGATCAATGTCATTATCTCAAAAACTGTGCACCTACCCCTCCCCTAACCCAATAACAGTCACCTGATAACAAGCTAGGGTTAATGTTGGATTAGGGGAGGAGTAGGTGTGCAGGTGCTCAGTTACTGACATTGATCTAAATTTGTTTTTCAGAGGGTCAGTGGATGAATGAAAGCTCACCAGAAGCAAGTCCTACTAAAACAAAGTTTAGTAGCATATTGTCTGATGAATCTGTTCAGAGTGTGGAAATTCAGGGTGTACCATCTGAGCAGAGTGACAACCGTACCCTAAGTGACTTGTTTTCTTCAAACACCAGCACTAGTGGTGATGCAGAAGGACACAGCTTCTTTGATTCTCTTGTTGCCCCAGCTGCTTCTGACCCATTTTCACAAATAGGGGGACAAACTTTTCCACCATCAGTTGTATTCTCAGAGCCAATTCATCAACCTTCTGAAAAACAATCAGCGCCAGAACCAGCTCAAGGGGATTTGGGTTTTAAGGTGGTGAACAATCAGGACACAATAAAACAAGACTCAGAACAGTGGCCTCCGTTCCAAGGGGCTGAAACGCCCATGCCACCTGTTGCCCCAATTCTCAGTCAAACTTCAGTGGCCCATGATGATCCTCTTAATGCCATGCAAAACCAGGAATCATCCAATCTCAAACTTGAAATTACTAAGGAACAAAAGCTTCCTTCAGCACCACCTACCCCTGAAGGAGAGTGGGTGAGAAGCAAACAAACTGAAGCTGAGAGAAGATCCTCAGCATGGATAGCAACACCCCAGACTAATCAGTTTCTGGTCACCATTGGATCAGGTATGCTGAACCCTGCTGATGTGGATCAACAGTTCTTAACATCTCCTGGATTGGTTATTGAAGGTCCACAGGTAGGTTTCTCTTTTTGATGGAGTGTTTCTTTATCATTATGTGATTTAGTTAAATGACAATTTACTGAAATTTATGCCCACAACTTTAGTATGCCCCTTCTGATCATCAGTCACAAGTGAAGGTAAAGGTGAAATATTGCAATTCATTTCGGCTGAACCTTAGAGTTCATATGTAGTTTTATAGCTGTTGTTTCTAGCAGTCCTGAGCAGTTTTGTAGAGTTTGTCTCTTGGCACTTCCCCATCCTAAGGCACCCCCTTTTTATCTTCCACCTATCTAAGCATTGTTGATGGCTGCTTGGAATAGGGGTTTGTGGCTGGGTTCTTGGGATTTGCCAGCCATGGAGGCAGTTTTCTTCTTGGAGGCTGGGTGGAGACCATGGAGGCTCTTGGATACCTCAAGCACCCACTTTCCTTTTAAGCAAGGCAGCTTTTAATGGCCCATACTCGTAAAGCTTAAATCACATTTACTTTTTAGGTGGACCCTGTGAAGGAGCTGATGTCAAAGTTTATGGGTGAACAGGATGCAGAAAATAGAAAGACATTGAGTGTTGACAGTGTTCCATTGGATGAGTCTGGGCTCAGAGAATTACTGGTAGGTGAAAGAAACCCATCTGCAAGAGTTCACAACTTTTGCATCCAGAACCTGCATATCATCCAAATTTTGGTATACACCGAGTTGTTACACACTCATAAAGTGTTTGTAGCAACTTATTCATACCAGAGGGCTTAGCTGGAGTTTGTTGTCAAGTTAGATAGTTGATCCTGGTCAGTAATTATAAGATAACTTTAGCTGCATAAGTCAGTTGCCAAGTGTCAGTTCTCTGCTAAGTAAGTTGAACTACCTTTCATTGTCTTTCCTAGAACCCTTTTTTGATTGTAAAGTAGATATTGTTGAATTTGTGTCATGATCCCAATCCCCTTTCAGAGACAACAGTGCTGGCGAGCAGCTCTTGAATTTACCACCAGGTTCTTGACAGCACATGGCCAGGGTGTGGGACAGAAGGGTCAGAGAGCTTTACACACTCACAAGACCTTACAGGTATAGACTAGGAGTAATGTTTATGGGAATGAATCACCTCCCATTTTGCACATTCTCCTTCTACCCCTTAGGGAAAGCCTGTAGGAAAATTACAAAATTCTTGAATAAAAATAGTCACAAACAGATGCCAAGAAGTTACCCTTCCTCCTTTTGTTTCTCCTGTTTTTTCCCTTGATTTCTCTTTATCTAACTCAGTTTATATCTGCTTTGCAATAATGGCAGTGATGATAATGATGATAATGATGATAATGATAATAATGATATAAGTAAGATCGTCATGTATACCATTATATATCTAGTTGTAACAGATGTGGTAATGTAGCTACACAAATTTTGTATAACAAACACAGATATTAGCTAGTGAGTTTGATTAGGAGTCATAAAAGGAATTCAATAGATTAAACCACGTATAACGAGTTCCAGTTTGAGTAAAGGTACTAGGATTTCCTTTAACTTGCAAACACCATGTGATGAAATTAAGATTTTGTATCAGATGTTGATTAAGTCCCATGCATCATTTCTTGAATGGTTTTGTATGTTTCCCTCTCCTTTCAGTTGTCATCTTTTCTTGTCCATTGATATTTTCAAAAGAAGGGAATTTAATTCATGGAATAATGTTTTTCTATGAGTTTGGTGAATGAGGGG